TCTGGGGGGATTCTCGCCCCAGAAAACTTTATGAGCTAAATAAATCTGCACTCGAGAACTGGGGTAGTTTTAACCCCCAGCAGACTAAGAGAGTCCACAGCTGAAACCTGCGTAAACTAGAGAAATTCAGAGTCAAATCCTTATGACATTCTCCCCACGAAGACCAAATCCAGTCTCAATTCGGATCATTCTCAGCCCACAAAAAACGGATTCTCGCCCCAGAAAACTTTATGAGCTAAATAAATCTGCACTCGAGAACTGGGGTAGTTTTAACCCCCAGCAGACTAAGAGAGTCCACAGCTGAAACCTGCGTAAACTAGAGAAATTCAGAGTCAAATCCTTATGACATTCTCCCCACGAAGACCAAATCCAGTCTCAATTCGGATCATTCTCAGCCCACAAAAAACTTTGTGACCGAAGGACATCTCTAGCGTCAAACCTCTGTAAACAAGGGAATTCTCAGCCTCCAGGAGATTGTGAACTAAGAACATTCACAGCCTCATGCTTGTGTAAACAAGGGTCATTTTCAGCCCCAAAGCTTTGCCAAGGAAGGACATTTTCAGCCTCCAACCTGTGTAAACAAGGGAATTCTCGGCCCTGCAAGGTGAGCGAAGACAATTCTCAGCCCTGAAAGCCGGCAGGAATTCAGAGTCCAGAACCTGTGTAAATCTGGGTCGATCGCAGCGCAAAAAACTTTCACTGAGAAACTTTTCAGCCCCAAATCAGGGAAAACGCCCCTCTCAAAAACTGTGCGCGCTGGGGATGCGCCGCTCCCACCGTTTCCGAACGCCGGGGGTCTCGCCTCTCGCACCAGCTGAGAACCCCAAAGTCTCCTAGAAGGGGAACAACTCCTCACCCCGAGGCCTATCTCGGGGGCCTCCATGGGGCCCAGCTGTGCCGGCCGTTAACCCTTTAAAGCCCTGTGTCTCTGTAGGTCAGTTTGTTTGTCCTGGTAGAACAAGTTCAGCTGGAAGTGTCTGGGATGGGAAGTGACGGAAAATGGCTGTAGAAAGAAATGCATATTTTTTTTTGTCGTTTTTTTTTCTTTTTCATGGTTCCCTCACAGTGCTGGGGTTCTCGATACGATTTGTTTCTTTGTTTTCTCTCTTGGTCTTGCCTGGAAAGGAGAAGGTCTCGCTCTCTCCGCGCGCTCCCTTCCTGCTCCAGCTGCCGCGCCTTCCGCCTGCCGGACGCGCTAGATCTTAAACAAGAGAGTCACGAAGGCAGACGACAGCAAGCCCAGGAACAAGGGGGACTCCATGCCCGTCACGGCTATGTTCTCCAGAGAGCCAGGCCCTGGCAGGAGAAGAAAGAGGGTTTCAAAGCCGGCGGCAAGACTTCCCGGGGACTGGGGCGCTAGGCGTGATTTCCAGTACCACGTGAAGTGCTGGTGTCGTGGGTTCAAGGAGGGAAGCAGGGGACCAAGACACTGAGTTCTGCCCCGGTCAGGGAGGGCAGTGGGGCCTAGGGGTCGGAGCAGAGGGATCCCTGGACATTCCATCTGTTACTAGAGCCCAGGGCCAGTCCTGAGAGACAGTGGGCGGAGCTGTGGGTGATGGTGGGTGGGGCCAAGGTGTGGGACATGGGGCAGGGCTGTGGGGGACACGGGTGGGACTGCAGTGGGTAGGACCAATCGTGAAGGACTCTGGGCGGGGCTGTAGGGAATGGTGGGCGTGGCCAAGGTGGGAGACCGTGGGTAGGACCAATTGTGAAGGACACTGGGCGGGGCTGTAGGGAATGGTGGGCATGGCCAAGGTGGGAGACAGTGGGTAGGACCAGTCGTGAAGGACACTGGGCGGGGCTGTAGGGAATGGTGGGCATGGCCAAGGTGGGAGACAGTGGGTAGGACCAGTCGTGAAGGACACTGGGCGGGGCTGTAGGGAATGGTGCAGTGACACGGGGCGGGGGACCTACGTATCAGTCGCAGGCTGGCGTTGGAGGCTCCCAGCTTGTTGGAGGCCAAGCAGGTGTAGTTCCCATAATGCCGAGCAGTGACGTTGTCGATGAGCAGCATGGAGCGCGTGCGCTCGTTCCGGATCCGCAGCCCCTCGAGGCCCCCGAAGAGTCTGCTGGGGAGGGGGCGAAATGGGAGGGAGAGGAGGGAGTGTTACAAGGACCTCGCAGCTTCATACCTGGTAGGGGATTTATCAGCAAACCAGAATCAAACATGATAAACTACAGAACCGGCAGGGCTGGCAAGGGCTGTGGGGTGGGGGTGAGGGGCACCGGTGGGGCTGGGGCAGAGGGGCTGGGCTGGGAGGGGCTGCGGGGCGGGGGGGAGGGGCACTGGGGCAGAGGGGCTGGGCTGGGAGGGGCTGCGGGGCGGGGGGGAGGGGCACTGGGGCAGAGGGGCTGGGCTGGGAGGGGCTGCGGGGCGGGGGGGAGGGGCACTGGGGCAGAGGGGCTGGGCTGGGAGGGGCTGCGGGGCGGGGGGGAGGGGCACTGGGGCAGAGGGGCTGGGCTGGGAGGGGCTGCGGGGCGGGGGGGAGGGGCACTGGGGCAGAGGGGCTGGGCTGGGAGGGGCTGCGGGGCGGGGGGGAGGGGCACTGGGGCAGAGGGGCTGGGCTGGGAGGGGCTGCGGGGCGGGGGGGAGGGGCACTGGGGCAGAGGGGCTGGGCTGGGAGGGGCTGCGGGGCGGGGGGGAGGGGCACTGGGGCAGAGGGGCTGGGCTGGGAGGGGCTGCGGGGCGGGGGGGAGGGGCACTGGGGCAGAGGGGCTGGGCTGGGAGGGGCTGCGGGGCGGGGGTGAGGGGCACTGGGGCAGAGGGGCTGGGCTGGTAAGGGCTGTGGGTCAGAGGTGAGGGGCACTGGCTCAGCTGTGAGTTGGCTCCTTTGATCTCCAAGGTCATTTATTTCCATTTGCCCCATGAATTCCCCATTGAAAACCTGTCCCAAGAGTTGGCACGTGGCTGATGTCAGAGAGTGACTCTCCTGGAGCGAGGGGGGGGGGGCTCCCCCATTCAGGGATCAA